TGCCCAGCCGAGTCCCCTGGGTGGTCCCGGGATGGGAGACGGGGAGGGATCAGCGGACATCCATGCGCGGAGCTGGGGGGCCTCAGCGAGGGGGGACAAGCTCCGGGAGGGACGGAGAGCGGCTTGGCAGCCTGCGGCCCTGACGGAAATGGATTTGGCAGGGGGTGCTCCAGCCCCTCCTGGGGGGCTTGGCCGTGCGACACACGGTTCCCCCTCTCTCCTCCAGTGCTGACTCCGGCTCCAGCCTGGAAACTTGTGCTCAGCTGGCCGTGACCATGAGAGTGTGAGTCAGGGTGCGGGACATGCCAGGGGGAAGGACACACCGACAGGACAAGCCAAGGCTGGCATGGAAACCTGGGCATGGAGAAGAGGACGTGGGCACTGTAATGCCCCTGTCCCCATGCCTCGGTTTCCCATCCATACTCTGCATAAAATTGCCAGCTCAGAAGGAAGGGCAGGGTGGGATGGGGGTAGGCTGCCCTTCCCAGAGACTGGGGCTGCATCTGTCTGCTCCCAAAGTGCAGCATCCCCTCCCCAAAATATCCCTGTCCCATTGCCCTCCACCCCACCTCTATGATGTGCTCACCCAGCCCAGGGCAGTGGTACCCCTGTGGGGATGTGCCAGCTGGGACAGAGAACAGCACTTTCCACCTCTCCATGCCAACCAGATCCAGGGGCAGAGGGGACTGATCCTGCTCACAGCACCAAACAAGCAAAGAGCCACCCCTGCCCACCCCCCTCCCCATCATTACAGCCCTTATTAATCAACCTCTTTACTGCTCACAAGATGAAAGCCCCGGTGGAGAGGCGTCCACACCCCCCCATAAATCACCTCCTCCCATTCACTGCTGTGACAATCCCAGGCTCCTCAGAAGGGCAGGGACAAGGGTCATGCGACAGGGACAGGGTGGCCGCAGGGACACAGCCCATCACCATCATTTTAGGCTCATTTTCTCAGCAGGTGGACACAAACGGGGTCACTTAGCACAGGGACTCCTGCACGGGTTCTACTGGTGTAGGCATGCACTCCCAGTGCAGGGCCAGCCTTGGCAGGACTCCTTTGTGTCCTGGGGTCACCACATCCCCAAGGCCCCCACACCCACTTCCAGCACAGTGTCTGCACACTGCTCATGTGTGATGTGTGCTCTCACATGCACACATCACACATGTCCCCCCCGTGTACATGCCAGGACACAGTCATGTACACCACACACACAGCCCATGTCACACATGATGCATGGGTCCCACGTGTGTGGGTACCTGTCATCACAGAAAGGTCCAAGACACCCCTCTGTAACAGCTCACACCAACAGAGAGCTCTGCTGCTGCTGCCGCCAGCATACACACGTGTTAGGGGACACACACCCCATGGCAGCTCCATTGAGACCTCCTGTGCACCCACACCCGTGTGAGCTGCAGTTCACTCTCACCTCAGCCCCACCTGCATGCCCATGAACACACATGCACAGGTACACGTGT